CACTCTCTCTCGCTCTCACTCTCACTCTCACTCTCACTCTCGCTCTCACTCTCACTCTCGCTCTCGCTCTCGTCTCGTTCTCGCTCTCACTCTCACTCTCACTCTCACTCTCACTCTCACTCTCACTCTCGCTCTCACTCTCACTCTCGCTCCCGCTTTCGCTCTCGGTGCCACTCTCACTCTCACTCTCGCTCTCACTCTCAGTCTCAGTCTCAGTCTCAGTCTCAGTCTCAGTCTCAGTCTCAGTCTCACTCTCACTCCCACTCCGACTCTCACTCTCGCTCTCACTCTCACTCTCACTCTCGCTCTCACTCTCACTCTCACTCTCGCTCTCATTCTCACTTTCATTCTGCTCTCACTCCACTCTCGCTCTCAACTGCTCTCACTCTCACTCTCACTCTCACTCTCGCTCTCGCTCTCGCTCTCACTCTCGCTCACTCGCACTCTCACTCTCACTCTCACTCTCACTCTCGCTCACTCTCACTCACACTCTCACTCTCGCTCTCTCGCTCTCACTCTCACTCTCGCACTCTCACTCCCACTCTCGCTCTCACTCTCGCTCTCACTCTCACTCTCACTCTCTCTCACTCTCTCACTCTCTCACTCTCTCACTCTCTCACTCTCTCACTCTCTCACTCTCTCACTCTCTCACTCTCTCACTCTCTCACTCTCTCACTCTCACTCTCTCACTCTCTCACACATGCATTTTTGCGTCGGCGGCTGGGCAGAGGGACTGCTCCAGCGGTGTGGCATGGGTAGGACGCACAACATGCGAACGAAGCCGCAGTGCACGGGAGGGGGCGACAGGAAGCCCCGCGCGGGTGGGAGGGAGAGGCAGCTGGGATCGCTCAGAGCAGGGCCAGGCGGCGGCGGGGCAGGCGCCGAGATGGGGAACCAGCGGTGGCGACGAGGCAGCAGCTGGGGGTAGGCAGCCGGAAAGCAGCCAGGCATGCGCCCAGGGGGAGGAGGAAGCGGGTCGTGCAATGAGGCTGCTGAGCAGTGCGATCGAGTCGACCTTGCTAACGACTGAACAGCCAACGAAAGACCACCTCACGAGAGGGGCCGGATAGGAGCTCTGTCAAGAGGCGATCAAAGACGGGCCCTCGCAACCACGCCTCGGAAACGTCGACGGAGCATACTCCCCTGGGAGTTCTGAGGGGGCCCTTTGAAGCTGCCGGCTGACTTCCCCCTCATCCTTGTCAGCAGCTTCCCTATTCATGCGTCTGGTAAGAGTCAAGAGGGCACTGCTGCGGGGCTTTCGGGGCGACCTTGGAGGTGAACGGGTCCAGCTCCGGACGCTTGCCTCCGAGGGGGTGCGAGCCGATCGCGCGAGCAGCGCCTTCGGCATGTTGACGCCGCGCCGCACGGGCAGCGCTCTTGCGCGCGATGTGATCCGCAGAGCGCTCGCCTGGTTGACGTCCGATCAGCAGGTTCCGAACGTCTCTCACAGCCCCCCGAATCATCTCAGCGTGGAAGTCCAGGAGCATGGGCAGGGACCAGGGCACGTCCATGGCTATCTCCCAGATGCTTCCCAACAGAAAAAGCCTTAAACCCAGCGTGCTCACATGCGATTTCGGGGATCGTGAGTTCTTCCAGAGGTCGGGGTTGGCTGCTAGACAGCTGGGTGGCGATCGGAGCGCGGTTGGACACCGCCTTGGTATCCAGCGCCTCGGCCATCTCCAGACACTGCCCTGCCGCGCGCAGTTGGTTCATCACCCAGCCAGAGAAAGAGACGAAGCATCTGTCAATATGTGCGACAATTTGTTGTGCAGTATGATGATGAGTAGGGTCAGGAAGTTGGACGTCCAGAAAATATCGAAACACGTGGTTCCAGGCCCCCCCCCCGCGCTGCGAGCTCCAACACGTGAGCGCCTCTTGAGCTTCCCCTGGGTGATCCAAGACATGCTTGGGTGGCTCAGCAACTACATTGAAATCGCCGCGAGCCTAGACAAAGGGCGCTTGGCGGCCTCCGAACGTATCCCCTCCCCTCAGCCGTAATATGATTGTGAATGTTGAGCTGTGCAATCCAAGATTCTCCCGAAAATATTAAACGCGTAACAAGCACCCTCCTTCGATCACCACCTCGGACGACAACGTCGGAGCCTGTGCTCCGAGATGGGCAAGAAGCACACAGCGACGAGCAACAGGTTCACCCTGGAATTCAAACTCGGTATCGTCCAGAGTGCAACGTGCCGGCCACCCTCCCAGACACTCGAGAACATTATTGCGCGGAATATTCGGCGTCCCTAGCTGGTGGGGAGTCTGACTTAACCTGACCAAACACCTGCTGCAAATGTTGCATCTGCTCCTCCAGCTTGGCGATCCTCGCGTCGTGGACCGACACCCGTGCCTCCGTTTTCGTCATTCGGGTCTCGACGCGCTTGGGCAGGTTGTCGTTCGACGTGCGCACGGACTGCGACGGCTGCTCGGATGACGCGACCATCTGGTTGGCCTGCTTTCCGATACAGTCGATGGCGGCACCATCATCGGCGCGACGAATCTTCCCAGGAGGCAGCTCATTATCGCCAGGACCAGAGCCACGAGAAGCAGAAGAGGCCTTCCCTCCTACGTACTCTTGCTGATCCTCCTCCTCCTTCTCCTCCTCCTACGTGCTTTTGCTGATCCTCCTCCTCCTCCTCCTCCTCCTCCTCCTCCTCCTCCTACGTACTCCTCTTCCTCCCTCTTGCCTGATCATCGGACGCTTCCGTGCTTCTGTAGCCGAGAGCCCCGCCTGGTTGGCAGCAGAGGGGCGTCGAGGACTCGGCACTGCAGCCTTGGGCCCTCAGCTCGCCCTGCCCTTCCCCCCCCCCCCGCGACCACATGTGCGATGTGCGCACCGCCTACCAGTGCTGCCTCACAAGGCGAGGTGGCAGCCCGCGGCCCAGCACAGCGCAGGACACGCCCGTGCAACGGCTCAGCTCGTCGGTCCGGCGTCCCTGGCGGAACTGGCAACGCAAGCCTCTCCGCCCTGCAACCCCCATCGTCCGCCACGCCGCATCCCTTCCCACCCTCCCGCAATCGCTCCTTCTCTCTCTCTCTCTCTCTCTCCTCCTGGCCTCCACTGCGATCCAGGCACTCTGGAATGCCCAAGACGAGGCGCAGCTGCGGGAGAGCATCCCGAAGCCGGAAAGCCGCAGAGATCTGTCGAAAACGCTAGAACACATCGAACCTCGAGCCTCTGAGCACGCGGCCGCCCCCTGACCCCACAGTGCATATTCGTTTCGACGAGCGACGGATGCAGCACGTCGCATGTGCACAACTGCTGGCCGCGGCGCTGGAGGCGCCGCCGGGGGGCCCCAACGCCGATCCGAGAAATCCGCGCGGACCTCCGAGTCTGCATGTTTATGTCACTTTTTGTTCCCCTATTGGAGGATCGGAGGATCGAGGATCGGAGGCTCGAGGGCCCCGAAACGGGCCCTTCCCCTCCGCTCGGCGCGGGCCAATCCGCCCCCCCCGGGGCGCCCTGGTCGAGCCGGACAAGCCGGCCGCCGCCGGGCCCACGCCCGCGGCGGTGAGCACGAGGAGGGAGACCGTCTGGGCGGCGGCGGCGGCGAGCAGAAGGTCGGGAGTCAAGGCCTCCTAGATTTCAGTCGGGCGTGTCCCCCTACAGGAGGATTTTCGAGGAACAATTAAACATATACAAATTATCCCAGTGCGACCCTACCTAGGAGTTGGAGCCTCCAGGAAAGCAACATTAGTAGGAGCGGTAAACGCCGTCCTCCTCCTTCTCCTCATCGTCGTAGTTGTAGCAGTAGTAATAATAGTAGTAGTAGTAGTAGTAGTAGTAGTAGTAGTAGTAGTAGTAGTAGTAGTAGTAGTAGTAGTAATAATAGTAATAGTAGTAGTAGCAGTGGTAGTAGTAGTAGTAGTAGTAGTAGTAGTAGTAGTAGTAGTAGTAGTAGTAGCCGTAGTCGTAGTCGTAGTAGTAGTAGTAGTAATAGTAGTAGTCGTAGTCGTAGTAGTAGTAGTAGTAGTAGTAGTAGTAGTAGTAGTAGTAGTAGTTGTAGTAGTAGTAGTAGTCGTAGTAGTAGTAGTAGTAGTAGTAGTAGTAGTAGTAGTCGTAGTAGTAGTAGTAGTAGTAGTAGTAGTAGTAGTAGTAGTAGTAGTAGTAGTAGTAGTAGTAGTAGTAGTAGTAGTAGTAGTAGTAGTAGTAGTAGTAGTAGTAGTAGTAGTAGTAGTAGTGTAGTCGTAGTCGTAGTAGTAGTAGTAGTAGTAGTAGTAGTAGTAGTAGTAGTAGTAGTAGTAGTAGTAGTAGTAGTAGTAGTAGTAGTAGTAGTAGTAGTAGTAGTAGTAGTAGTAGTAGTAGTAGTAGTAGTAGTAGTAGTAGTAGTAGTAGTAGTAGTAGTAGTAGTAGTAGTAGTAGTAGGTAGTAGTAGTAGTAGTAGTAGTAGTAGTAGTAGCGTAGAAATAGTAGTAGTAGCAGGAGTAGTAGTAGTGGTAGTAGTAGTAGTAGCAGTAGTTGTAATAGTAGTAGTAGTAGTAGTAGTAGTAGTAGTAGTAGTAGTAGTAGAAGTAGTAGTAGTAGTAGTAGTAGCAGTAGCAATAGCAATAGTAGTAGTAGTAATAGTAGTAGTAGTAAAAGTAGTAGTAGCAGTAGAAGTCGTACTAGTAGTAGTAGTAGTAGTAGTAGTAGTAGTAGTAGTAGTAGTAGTAGTAGTAGTAGTAGTAGTAGTAGTAGTAGTAGTAGTAGTAGTAGTAGTAGGATGCAGTGCTGCGATATGCTATGCTATGCTTTGCTATGCTATGCGATGCTGCGCAATGCTATGCTGGGCTAGGCTAGGCTAGGCTATGCTGTGATATGCTATGCTATGCTATGCTGCGCTATGCTATGCTATGCTATGCTGTGCCATGCTATGCTTTTGCTTTGCCTTCGCTTTTGCCTTCACTTTTGCCTTTGCTTTTGCTTTTGCTTGGCATCCAGGGAGCGCAACTGGGGGAACCGCGCGTTTGCTTTTACCTTTGCTGTTGCTTTTGCGGCTCCCAGGGGACCGGGGGAACCGCCCGGGGCGCTTCACACTGCCCGGCCCCTTTAAGCGAAGAGAGTAAGAACCCTTCAAGGCAGAGCCTAGGAAGGGAATCCATACAAACATAAGCTAAGCTAAGCTAAGCTAAGCTAAGCTACAGCAAAGCGAAGCTAAGATGAAGCTAAGCTAAGCTAAGCTAAGCTAAGCTAAGATGAAATACGCCAAGCTAAGGCACGGGGGCGCAACTGGGGGAACCGCGGCGCGGGGACCGGGGGAACCGCCCAGGGCGAAGCCCACTGCCCGGCCCCTTTAAGCCCAGCGAGTAAGAACCCTCTAGGCAGAGCCTAGGTAGGGACAAATATGCCAACATGTTCAACAAATACTCAACAAATAGTCCCTTGATTTTTTTGTTAAATATATGTAAATACATAAATAAACAAAAAAACGCTATTTTTGAATATTCCCCCTGTAGAGGGACGGGTCCGACTTAATCCTAGATGGGGTCGGAGCAGATGGGGCCAAGGAGTCGCGCCACGTTGCTGATGCCTCGCTGATGCGGCTCGACATGTGGCCCGATTTGCTTCACGTCGACGTCGCCGATGCATCGGCGACGTCGACGATGCATCGGTGGTGCATCGCCGAAACACCGCCGATGCATCGCCGGTGTATCGGCGATGCGGCGCGATCCTCCGACCCCATCTACTCCGACCCCATCTAAGAGGCCTCCAAGGAGGTGGAGGATGTGCGCACGATCTGTATACCATTGTATACCTACCCGCTGCGTCACGGATTTCCGGACTCCCTTCCCCCCTGGCCGCAGAGGAAGTGGACAAAAATCTTGCCTCCGGCGAGGCGAGAGGTCCATCGGTATCCACGGCGTCTCGCGCGTTTGGGCGTCCACTCCACAAAAATCCAAGACGCCGTGGATCGGAGGTCGGGGGCTGCGAACGGAAGTGGCCCCAAGCGGGAAATCGGTTTCGGTTTCGGTTCGTGTCGTGCGTGCGAGGCGAAGCTTCGCGAGTTCCTGTACTGAAGTAGGCCACATGGAGCCCAAAGGGCCGCCCCCCCCCTAGGGCGGGCGCGGCTCCCGGTTGTCCCGGTGGCTCTCCCGATGGTTGTCCCGATGGTTCTCCCGATGGGTGTCCCAATGGGTGTCTCGATGGTTGTCCCGATGGTTGTCCCGATTGTTGTCCCGATGGTTGGCCCGATGGTTGTCCCGATGGTTGTCCCGATGATTGTCCCGACGGTTGTCCCGATGGTTGTACCTATGGTTGTCCCGATTGTTGGCCCGATGGTTGGCTCGATGGTGGATACAAAGATAGATAGATACATAAATCGTTAGACAGACATATCGGCAAAAATATAAGTACATAGCAATATGGGTACACTGACACCATTACCACCACCACACCATCACCATCACCACCGTCATTCCGAAGGCATTTGCACTAAAGCCGTTCCGCCCTGGAGTGGGCTGCCAGCAATCACGCCGCAACAACATGTCGCCGTGGAGTGGGCCGCCACGCCGCCACTCACGCCGGGGCCAGACTTTGCCGGCTCTGGGCAGTACCGCGGCTCACGCCTACTCAGGCAACGCTGTGCGTGCAGCGAGAGCTCCCGCGCTGGGTTCGCAGAGTTCAGCCCCGCCTGCGCGAGGACGGGCTACCAATTTTGCGAAGCTCTCAAGAAAGTCCCGGGCGTGAGGCACGTCGGCCGGCAAACGTCGAAGACCTTGCGAGGGACTGCCGGTAACCGCGCCATGGAGCAAAACCGTCTCGTCTACTCAGACTTGGGCGACCCCGCCAGGCCCTCGGAGCTTGAAGTTATTCGGAACCAGCACTCAAAAGACAAGAGTACGCCTTGCATCTTACACAGCGACGGGGATGTTGAAGGGCGCGCTGAAAGATATGGATGCGGAAGCATGGCGGATCTTACGTGCAGCGGTGAAAGGCAAAGAGCTTTTGCCAGAGCACGTGCGCCAGTCCATGGAGGACAGCTTGGCGCGGCGCTGCGGCGCGCCAGGCTCTGCCAGCGCATCGGCCTTACAGGGCGCGGCGGCTGGCGAGGAAGCCGCGTGGGGTGCCCGGGCCGCGCCGCAGGGGCCCGCAGAAGCTGGCGCGGGCGCGCCCGGCTCTGCCACCGCATATGCCTCAACGGGCACGGCGGCGGCTGCGCTCTCCTTTTTGCACCTTGTCTGCTGATCAACCGCGCACCTACGCTGGGAGCCGGGGCAGCGTTGCCGTCGCGTCCGCCGCCTCAGCTGTTCCGCAATTCGCTGTTTAAGCTGCTTCCGCCAAACTTCGTCGCGGGGGTCCCGTCGGCGTTGGCTCCGGCGGTTCTGCCGCGGGGCCGCGGCCCCCGAGCGGCACCGCACCTGAGCGGTGGTCACTCCGGGGGAACTCACGCGGGCTCTTGGAACGCAGCCCACGGCAAAGCAAGCGCATGACCCCTACCGCGCACTCCGAATCGTGGCCTTGATGCGGCACGAGGCCCCCAGGCGTCGGCGAGCGGGCCCCAGGCGTCGCACTTGCTTGCG